GCAAAAGATATGAACATTTTTATGACTTTCTGAAAGGGCTACCCAGTTTAGTGTCCCTAAAAATGATCAGAGTTGCCAGTTTTACTTCCCTGGAATGATAGGATTTGAATGAGCAAAATAAGTAAAGAAATACAGCTACAAAGGGGCAGAGAATTCCAGAGTTCTGTTAAGAGGCAGGGAAAAGAAAAAGTTGGCCTGAGCGGAAGCTTCAATAGAGGTACAAGAAAGGTTGCAGTTATTGTAGGCCTTGAATATTCGATAAGCAGCGAGCCACACAGACACACTGAAGGATTCTAGCCAGCTATGGGTCAAATATGTCACCCCAAAAGTTCATGTGTTAGAAACTTAATTCCCACCGTAACAGTGTTAAGAGGGTGGGAAACCCTATTATGGTAATTGAAAGGTAGGGCCTTTAGATTGTGATTCGGATTAGATTGTGAGGACCTGTACCTTTGTGAATGGACTGATTCATTCATGGGAGTAATGGGCGTGGTTCTGATGGCTTTAGGAGAGCCAGTGAGCAGATTAGCTCTCTCTTGCTCAGGCTATTTGCCATGTGATACCCTGTGACGCTATAGAAGGTGGCCATCACTAGATGTGTTTCCTGGACTTTGAACTTCTCAGCCTCCCAAACTGTTAAGAAATAAATTTCATTTCTTTATAAATTACCCAGTTTCAGGTATTCTGTTAAAAGCAACAGAAATGAACTAATACAGAGCAGGACTGGAGGGGAGCGGCTGAAGCCAACCAGACACATGAACCCTCCGTGTGATGGGTCACCCCTTTCCTTCTCAGGAAGCTACGTTTGGGCACAAAATTATCAAATGCAGGAACTTCGTGCAACATGTATGCTAAGTCTCGCAATCAAGAAACTATGCCTGAGAAATATGAAACGAAATGCCTTGTAGGTCCTGTGGTTTCCCATAAGACAGGACAAGGGACCTGGGAAGTCCAATTTACCTCCTTAATCTCCTACAAGACATCAAAATAAATGCTAATGGATGAAAGACGCTCTTCTCTACTGGGTGACTAATGAAGAATCTTGTTCTCCCAGTCATGTTGGAACAGTATCCCTCCTGTCTGTAGTGAAGACCAGCCCTCCCTGAGGGGGAAAACATACCTTCTTCCTTTTGGATGGCCTGAGAATCAGCAGAGCCTGTTAATGTAGACTCATCTCTAATATGGGATGACAGAAATAAAGATCTGCACAGAATCTCTGTAATTATCTACTATCTACTGATGCAAACTGACCTGTGAGGCCAAGTTGTTTTATGATGCAGGGATGGTCTCAAGGGCTGGCTTTAGGGAGAGACATATTCCATTAATTTGACCTTAGGTACCTTGATACAGATTCTTGTTTTTACTTATGTCCTATGCAACACAATTCAAGACAAATTTCCTATCCAAACTTCCATCCCCAGATTATTTCCCTGGGTAAATTTTCTAAAAGTGAAATTACTGGATTAAAGGTATGTAACTCTCAAGGCTTCTATGGTCAATTTCCATTAAAAAAAAATCTGTACTGGCTTAACTCACTTCAGCCTTAGAAAAGCAATCAAAGTCTGTTGCACTCTTGCTCATACTCATACACAGAGATGCTATTTAATAAGCAAATGGCATCCTATATGCCAGTATATACAGCAGAGTGTTTATGAGTAGACCCAAAGCCAGACCACAGGCATTCAGGATTGCAATTCAACCACTGAGTTGATAAAGATCACACAGTAACAATCTCTCTGGGCCTGTTTCCTCATCTAAAACATAGGCATAAAAAGGTACCTCCTTCAGAAACCTCGTATTTTGGCAGCTGGCCAGTACAGGGTTCAAACCATAGACCTTGGTGTTAATGGCAGCATACTCTAACCAAATGAGCTAATCAGCCAGACCTCACAGACTTGATTAAATTAACACATGCATATAAAAGCACTTAAAATGGGCTTACGCTTGGAAAGCACCATTGTTGTCTTCACTTGAATTTTTTAGTTACTACGAAAAATAAACTTTTCTCATTGGTCATTAGTATTTCTTCATTGAACTGTTTTTACCATATTTTCCCTTTTCCTACTTATATTTATTAATTTATATTTATTCCTATTTATATACTTATAGTCATATAAATATTTATATGACTATAAATATTTAGTCATCTATACTTTCTTAATCTTATAATTCCTTACATTGACTCTTTAACCCATTTGGAATTTATTTTGGTACATGTTGGAGGGAATCACCCCTCTCCTCACCCCTTCCCCAAATAGATATTTGGTGCTGGTAAAATAGGCTTATTACATAGCTTTTCTTTACTATTTTGAAATGCTACTCTATCATATATTTAAATGCCTGTCATTTATTTATTTTTTCTTATTTTATTTTGTCGATATACAATGTGGTTGATTATTGTGGCCCATCACTGAAACCTCCCTCCCTCCTCCCTCTCCTCCCTCCCACCCAACTATGTCCTTTCTGTTTGCTTGTCGTGTCAACTTCAAGGAATTGTAGTTGCTATGTCTTCTTAAATGCCTGTCATTTATTAGCCTTTCTGTCCTATTCTGCTTGTGTTGCTTTTAGGCCATTATCACACTAGCTTAATTAAACCTTTATAAGATGAATTCATTTCTATTTTTAACCCACAATGTAAATTTTGTCCACGATGAACTATAAGTTCTGCATATAAGTACAGTTGTAAAATATTACTCCGGATGATAATTGTTATGAACACCAAGCAATGAATATAGCTATCCTTGCACCTACCTCAGACCCGATGAACTATAAGTTCTGCATATAAGTACAGTTGTAAAATATTACTCTGGATGATAATTGTTATGAACACCAAGCAATGAATATAGCTATCCTTGCACCTACCTCAGACCAACCTCAGCAATAAGCTTAGCATCTCCCATTGAGTCTTTTCCCTACTACTGCACTGCCTCTGCCTCCTTTAGGTCTTTGAAGCCTCCCTTCAATAAGTAATTAAATAGAAGTGAAGAGCTTTTCCATTCCTACCCTACTTGTGGACAAAAATGACCAGAGTGATGGAGATTTCATTTAGTGTCTTTTGAGACAGCCACTAAGCTAGCTGGCAGTGCCAGTGTGATGTGCTTGATGCTTCCATGTAAAGAGTTCTTGGAAGGTTAAAGAAACCAAACTTTTTGGACAGCCTGGAGTCCAGATGAGTGGTAGGGAGTTGGGGGTCTCATTACTTCTGCAATTTCCTTCCCTATGGTCCCAGTCAAGGGCATGATAACTCAGTGCTTATTTATCCACATCACATGATACCTGCCAAATGCCCCAGGTTCAAGACAGACAGGCCAGGTGCCTGACTGGGGAAGGCTCAAAAAGGGAAAGGGTTGGCTCCCATGGTAAATCTCACCCATCTATTTTTATTTCAAAATTAACTTTAAAATTAGCATTTGTAGCAGATAAAATAGCTATTTTGAATGAAAGCTTATTAGAAAACAAAGTTTCCATAAATCTTTTTCTAATCTTGCCTTTCTTAGTTGTCTGCCTATAATCAGTTTAACCTTTGGCCTCAAGATAGTAACATCTGCCCCAAAAGAAATACCACAGAAAAAACTTTACGAAACTTTTAACAATGTGGGCAGTTTCATACAACATAAAAACTTCACCTGCACATTACACCAACAACAAATGGGACATTTACTAAGTGCTTATCTAAAATTAGTCTAGAAATACAAGAGACTTAGAAAACATATCGATTTGGTAATACTCCAAATAGAACAGCACTTCTTAATAATAGCAAGGAGTCAGCTTGAGATTTTCTGAGACTGCATGGAAGACAATACTGCAGCCTTTTTCAGACGCTATTCAGACAGCAGAACTCCAGAGGGCCAGGTCAGACCCACGGAAGGCAGCAAGTGTGGCAAAACAATAGTAAGCTGGTTGCAGAGGCCACTGACGGAAGCTCTGGAGGGTCTTTTCTAGAAGGCAAGAGTAAGCTTGTTTGGATGAGTGTTGTCTCTCCATACACTCTGACCCAGTCACCTAGCACGCAGGAGCCACACTCACCCTAAACAGATAGATTTTTGGTTTTCTCCATAGAATTTTGAAGAATAAGCATTTGGACCAGTGCTCTGAATTCTCAAAGTTTGGAAATGTGTTTGTGGATCATGATGACCAAGAAAAAAAGAGCCTTGAAATTATTTCTAGTTCAAGGAAAATCATCCTATAAAGGCCTATTTTCTAGGGATCACATTTTGTTGGCTTGTGGAGAAGCAAAAGATTCTGAGTCTAACATAAGACCTCTTCTTAAATATGAACTCAAAGTTACTGGTGAAGAAAGGGATGTCATTTTTAAAATGCTAAATCAAAAGCAAAAAATTAATTTGAAAATGATTTCAGACAGATATGGCTGCCCTCTGCTAATCTTCTCTCTTGAGCCACTACCAACTTACTAACTAGGCAGTAAAATGGTTTGGGTAAGCATGGGTTTATAACCTAATGTAATTATATGCATTCAACAGCTGATTTACTTCACTCATTTAAGATTAAAGTTACTATTATCATGTATTGGCATTCTTCCTTGTCAATAATGCCTGGGCATCAGAAAAGGAGGAGGCAGGATATGTGAAGACCACCTGGGAATAAAAAGGGGCCATGAATCTAGACTGCAGAGGGACACAATCCCCATTTCAGTTTATATATCTGAAATAACATCAGCACATCACGGAAAGAACAATGGACCATGAAACCAAAGACCTGTCTCCTCCACTTGGTAGGTATTAACCCGGGCAACTTTCTTTTCTGATTCCTAATTCCTATCTGTAAATGGGTAAAATGTGGATAACAGCCGTCCAACATAGCCCAAAAGTTTTTAAAATAATAAAATGGAAATGGTTATGAAGCACTTCACACACTGAAAAATACTAAAAAACATGGGAAAGAAACAAGCCACAGATCTTAAATGTAACACCCACTCAAACACCAGAAGAGACAAGTCAAAATTTGTGATGTTAAAGAAGCTAACTTATAAAAGTACAATGTCCCAATTTATATAAAAATGTTTAATAATAGTGAAACTTAAAAACTGATAAAATTAACAAAGCATATTGGCTAAAGACTATATAATTTTTCGAACAATGGCAAATATTATGCAGACATTTATCAATGCAAAGCTTTTAATCCCTCTATCATGTACTGTGAATACTAATTACCATTCAATATGCAACAAGATACAATCAATGGTTTCTTTGGCAGACATAATCATATGTACCAATGTGTCAAACACAAAAGCATTTTCTCCCTTAAACTTACCTGAATGAAGGCAGCTGACCAAAAGACAAAAGTGAACAATTTTGGTAAGTAGTTCAGTTTAACAATAAGAATCTAGAAGGTAACAAAAAGAGCAAAGATAAATCTTTTTGGAAATTTCGATAAAACTAAAATAAATTTTACATTTTATTAAATCAGCAAATATAATCACCTGGTTATACTTTTGTTAGCAAAAAATGATGATACTGATGATAATAAAAAAGGAAAAGAAAATGTACCTCAGACCAGAATACAATAACGAAAGTTTTGTGGAAGCTGCATTTTATTTGAAAATCCACCCATTTTGCTAACATACATTTTAATATTGTAAACAAAAATAGAATCTGCAGAGACAATGCAACAAGTATGCTGAAACTCATGTACAGAATTGCTTTCCTACAACAAACTGTCCTTCTTAAGGCCCCTCTCTACCCAAATGTTAAGATGTATTTACACAAAGCACCGATCAACAGTGCAATTTAATTCTTTGTTACTAAACTCTTGGCTAGACATTAATTTTAAAGATACTATTTCCCCTTATTTAAAAGGTACATGATCATAATACGGCATGAGCCAAATAAAAGGTTCAAGGATTTTGTCTCCCTTCCCTCCCCTGGAAACACCTCCTAGAGTTTTACTGAAAAGAAGGAAAGTCTTGAAGTGAAAGCAATTCCTCACATTCATTTTGGAAAGGCCCTAATGTCAAATGGAAAATAATGACATGCCAAGCACAAAGCGGTAAAGATCCTTCCCAACGCACTAATGCTGAATTTAAAATGTAGTGCTTTTCCTAGTCAGTGAACTGTTCCCTTGCAAAATCCTAGGCACGGAATTGACTATAAGGATTAATGCATTTATAATGATTCCCTAAATCCCATAGAGACAGAGAATTCTTAAGAGACTCAGACCTATGGACTTGCCTTGAAATATTTAGTGCTCTGTATGTCAGCTGAAAAGCATTCTAAATCAGATTCATTCTTGTGGATAAAAATCAAACATACTGTGTACATCCATACTCATTTTCTTAAGGAGGTTTGATACAATATTAATGTTACGTAAAATTGATAATCATAAATAAATACAAATACTTAAGGAATGTCTACTGCAAACTGAATATATTTTTTTAAAAAGAAAAGTTAATTTCAGTTACTGTTTCTGTATCTGTGAGGACTGGAGAAAAGAAAGATAATACATAATTAAGAATTTTGATCTTTATCCCCCCAAAAAGAGTCCTGTTGAATTACAGTAAAGGACACAGCTCTTCTCTCCAGGCAGCATTTCCAAATACAAATTCACACTTTCCAAATAAGGGCTTTTCTTGGGTATTATGGGTATTAATAGGAGTTGAAAGAACTGAAGGGTTAGTCACCAAAAAGACAGATCTTAAGTCTTAAATCATGGCAATTCTTGGTTTTATAAACTGTATTGATACATTCTCCTACAAACTAGTCCCAATTTCCTTCATGGGCCTTCACTGGGTTACTGTAGCATTCTAATGGAAGAGGAGAGTTTAAGAGACAGCAGTTTGGATTTCGCCGGAAGTAAGGATTTGCTGCTTGAGCACTTGTCTTTCTGGAGTAATTCCATTCTCTTCCATCTAGTTACATAAACTGTATCTGGAAAAAAAAATAAGTGTGTAAGTTAATTCACTGCACTGTAGGATGTCTTCTCACAAATAAAAACTCTTTGTGGACTTTACCATTCAACTGGCCTAGAAGTGTTCACAAAATGCTTATCACAAACTGATTACAAAATAAAGTCAGTATGAGCAGCTTATCATGTACCAGAACTCAATATTTGAAGCATAATTACAGGGATTTCCAAACACCTTTCTAATTACTAAAAACTGAGGGGTAGCATGTGGGGGAGGGGAAGAATGAAAACCAATGAGCTATTTTCCGTGACAAGTTCAGAAAATCTTTCCATAAGCACAAATATTCCACATAAAATCTCATTTGAGAAAGCAAAATTTGAACTAGTATTTCCAATTGATATAAGTTAGAGATAATAAAGGGAATGGTAATATCATGCTGATTAAGCCATTTCTTCACTAATATAAATGAAAACCTGAAAGATACTTAAAAGAATACTTTTCAACAGGGTTTCACTGTTCACTCAAAGATACTTCACTCATGATTTCCCTTAAACTGCCCATCCAAAGATATATTACTGAAGTAGATGTGCTAATAAACTTGCTAAATCAGAAGAATACCAACTCCCAAAGATCTAGAAGGTACATCTAAACTGTGGGTTAGAGCACCAAGAAGAACAAATTACACTATCTTCAGCAAACAGAGGCAGTGTGGATCATATGCAGAATGCTTCTAATCAGAAAGGGCCGAGGTATTCATTTGCCCTTAATAAAAAAAAAAATCATTTAAAAAAATTCTGCAATTTTTAAATGAAAAGTCATACATGAAAACACAACCCTTTAAAGAAATGAGGTATTCATTTGCCCTTAATAAAAAAAAAAATCATTTAAAAAAAATTCTGCAATTTTTAAATGAAAAGTCATACATGAAAACACAACCCTTTAAAGAAATGGTTGAAATGACTTATTCACAACTAATCCTTGCCATTACACTAAAACTAAAGATGCTCCTAATCAAGCTCTAAATGCAACGTACAGAATTGTGCTGTTCTGCACAATTCTTTTAAGAATGACTAAAACATCTAGTTTTTAAGGGTGGTATTTGATCTTATCCATCTGCTGTGAGCAGTGGATGCTTATGCTGGTAAGATGGTTCTGATTTCATACCTTCTAATTTATGTTAAACATTTTAGCCAAAGTTGTTTTTCCTTATTGCCTATCTTGACCTATTTTTACTCTTTACCTAAAGAAAAGAGGAGGAGGTGGAGGAGGAAAGGGAACCTAGAGTTCTTTAAAGAAACAAAGAAGGAGAAGAGTGAATTGTGCTTAATGTTTGGTAATTTTTTAAAGTACTTTAAGTCCCCATGTCCCCCAAAAGTAGCAATACCTAAAGTGATTTATAAGAAATCCTCCAAAGAGAGCTCTGCAAAAGGGTCCTTTCCTGAAGCTCTGTGAGGACTGTGACTGGAGGGGCTGGATGCTGCCGACAGCTGGGGGAAAAGAAGACAGAGAGAGGGAAAGAAAAAAAGATCTCAGAATGACAGAACATGAAAGCGGAAAATGTAATGAAAGAAGAAGTGGCTTTTGTTTTGTCATCTTTAATAAATATAAAGGCAGCCTTTGTAGAAAATGGGATTGTTAAAAAGTTTTAGTCACGTGTCAAGTTAAAGGGTATCCAATGGCATGTGTTTTTCAGAAAACAAATTATTGCTTCTGAAATTCCAAAGGAATAAAGTCTTTTACCCAAAAAGGTCAGTGTAAGCTAACCCACAGTTAAGACTTTGTGGGTAGGTGGACGCATGGGGCAAGGGATGCATAACGGATTTTTTAGTTGAGGGAAGAAGGCTTCCTGTGTGCGGGCTATCTGTCCAAAGCTGTGCAGACTCTGACCTCAGTCCAGACCCAACATATCTAGCTGCAATATTCTTTCTTTCCTTCTTCATAAGGGGTGGAAAGTCCTGTCCTCAGTTCTCACACCTTTTTTTCACATGGAGTTGTCTCCTGCCTATCTGGACACGCTACATCTGATGCATATATGAGGGTAATTCAAAAACTTCAGGGCCGGCCCCGTGGCGCACTCGGGAGAGTGTGGCAGTGGGAGCACAGCGATGCTCCTGCCGCGGGTTCGGATCCTATATAGTATGGCCAGTGCGCTCATGGGCTGAGCGCGGTGCGGGCGACACCACACCAAGGGTTGCGATCCCCTTACAGGTCACGAAAAAGACCAAAAAAAAAAAAAACCTTCATGGAAAAATGAAATTAAAAGATAATACAAATCTCTCCGTGAACTTTTTAAAGACCTCTTGTACTACAGGAGGAGACAGGGACCTTTGGGGTCACCATCTGTCCACATAGTGCTCCAAATAAGTGGAACACTTAAGATCTTTATTCTGTTCCCTGTTTCAATATACAGTGATTCTTAGAATCTGCTCATCACTTAATTTGAATATACTGTAAGGCAGGTAGACAACTGAATGCAGTAATATATCTTTAGTATTCTCCCAAAGAAAGACAGTTCCGTGGTGTCAATTTTCATGTATGTTATCTCCTTTACCAAGCTAACTTAGGAGTATTTCAAACCCAACATGAGCCTCAATTCTTTTTTTCTCCTCTGCATATGATTGCAGGACATGCAAACATATGCTGGTCCAAAGTGATCTCACTTCTTTCTACTTTTTCATTTTTTTAAGAAATGTGCTATAGAGAATTACGTAGCCAATGAGCTTCAGCAAATATTACATCACCAGTATATGTAATCTGTTGTTCTGGATGCCAAGATCAATTCACAGGTTTAGAAATCACCATCAGTTACACCAGTGGTTGAATCATTTCCCCAATCCATATCTTGTTCTCAGAGATAAATGTTCAAAGACAATGAAGACAATACTGCAGCCTTTTTCAGACAATGAAAGGATGATGAAATCACACAGGCAGCTACAGAAGGGAAGAGAGGGAAGCATGTCTGGACTTGAGGTTTCAAATATCATCTATGCAGAATCAGATTAAGGTGTAACTATACTGGAAAGATGCCCCCTTCTCTCCCTTCAGCCCAACCATGGATGACCACTTAGAAGAAGAATGATTTCAAGTAAAGCAATCATCAGTTGCTCAGCTGGAGGCAGTCCAACATCCACACTTACTCCAAGATTAACAGGGTTTTTCTCCAAAGCAGATTTTTCTTTCACTTGAAGTTAAAACAACGAACCCTGCTTATTACAACGAACCCTGCTTATTACAGCCCTACATTAAAATGTTTCCTTAAATCACATGTTTTCATGAGGGCAGCAATCTGAAGACCTGACAGCCCAAGGAAAAAGACCCTGAAGAATATAGACAAAGGAGATACTTCTATTCTTCTCAGTGAGTGAGCATACTGCTAGAGAGAGGTCTTACAAACAACGTTGAAGAGAATCAATTTTCCTTGAGGAAAAAGTGCTAGTTTTTAACTAAAACTTCTACTAGTCTCTTAAATAGGTAAAATACATACATACGTATGTCTTTTATCTATAAATATGTAGCCAAATTAAAACATAATAGATACCACCAATGAGAAAACAAGATTTACTATCCCTGTAATAAGTTTTTTATCATCAATATCCATCGCAAGTAGATGAAACTGTGTACCAGACTGGTTTGGCTGGCTGCACAGCTTCAAGGACTGGGATACCCACCAGCCCCTGACCACCTTGTCCCACACCTTCCCAGCACCTGTACCAAAGCATAGATGCTCCATGCATTGGTGAGAAAGTAGTCAGCTCGGAGAGTAAATAAGCAAAGAGAAGGAAAGGAAATATGCTGCAAAAATCCAAAAGAGCATGAAGAGGCAATATGGTCCTGGTGGGTGAGAAGTAGCAGGATTTAAGAAGTCTAAGAAAGTCACTTGAAACTACAAGATCTGACCCTCCCTTACTTTTTTTTTTTTTTGGGGGGGGGGCGGGGGGGCAGCTGGCAGGTTCAGGGACCTGAACCTGTGACCTTGGGGTTATAATGCTGAACTCTAAACAATTGAGCTAACTGGCCAGCCCCTTACTTATCATTCTTATGAGTAAATTAAAGAACATGGTCTAGAATTGCTAAGAAACATAAAAAAGGCAAGATTAAAATACCCAAGGATAAGGAATAAAAAACAAAAACAAAAAACTATCAACATTCATCACAAAAATCACCAAATTTTACAAACCAGCATAAGACAAATCACAATTACTTCAGTCAAATACTACTACAAACACGCCATCACCAGAAAATGGTAACAAGATTAAAACAAAACCAAAACATACCCTTTACCCATTTCTTTCTTTTTTAAAAAAAAAGATGACCAGTAAGGGGATCTTAACCCTTGGCTTGGTGTTGTCAGCACCACGCTCTCCCAAGTGAGCCACAGGCTGGCCCTACCCATTTATTTCAATACTATTCTCTATCCCCAAATTCCCACAGAGCTTTAAAAAAAAAAAAGTGCATTTATCATTTGTTCAAATCAAAGTGACTTATATCACAACTGAAGATGTCTTTAAACAATGTGGTCAGTCTTAGAGTCCAATATAGACATACTTAGTCTTTTTTCTCATTCATAGAAAAATGAAATGCTGAGAAGCAAGAGAAGCATATAAATAAAAATACTAAAATGTACAAGTAATTGATTATGGTAACTTTTAGCTGATATTCCTCCACCTTTCCTCCACTACTCTAATCAACCTTTTAAAAGTACGTTGAAATGAAAAAAAAAATCTAATATTACCAAAAATCTTTGCTTTTACCTCCAGAGCAAAGATTTTTTTGGTTGTAGAATATGTTTAACATAGTAAAAACAGAGAACAGGAATTATAAATCAACTTTAATATAAGGCAAACATACCTAGGGTATAGAAATTTTTTAAAAAGAATTCTATTGATAGATTAAACATCATAAAACAAAAATGATTACTCCTCCATTATATTCCTGTTTAACACCAAAGAAAGAAAATTTCAGGTTAGAACAAGAAAATAGAGCAGTCTCAGAAAGTGAGGTTAGTGCAATTAAAACATTATG